AACGCTCCTCTTCGACATCTCAACCGCTCGTGTATAGATTCGTCGGAAAACTGACTGGAAACTGCAGTGTACTTCATATACCCTCCTTTTTCTTATTGTTCTTCAGTTGATCAATTCATACACTGGACAAAACCGAGATTTGTTTTATATTTATTTATCAACAGCTTACGGGCTCTTACTTCCTACATCTCCTCTAACCCCTACTCTTTATTCAAAGATTCTGTACAGCACCATATCCTTAAATTTACTGGGCTTACCAACTGACCGCTTCGGTCGAATCGCTGGTTGTGCGCTGTTGTCTGGTACATCCCGCGTCGTGATTGCTGGCTTAAAATCGGAATCTTGTGACTCGTGAAGCAGATGCTCGTTCACTGCAGATTCATCTAGCTGCTTGAAATCGTCACAGATTGTTGAGGCAAGCTTTACGTCCTGAACATTCCTGGAGTACTGGACACCACGACCACTTCTGACTACAATTTTTGCTCCATCCCTTGCCATTACGGTGTATCTCTCAGCCGAAAAAGTTGGATCAGATTTCAATCGTTTCTGTTGGGTAATCAGCACTTTGTCTCCCACTGATATATCCGACTCTTTAGCACCTCGGCGTGAGTCAGCATATTTTTTGCTATTTAGTTTTGATAGAGCATCTTTCTCCCTTATTTCTTCTCGATCCAAGTCTGAACTTGCGATGGGATCCCAGAGGCAGGGGAATGTTCCCCGGAACTTCCACCCAACCAGTAATTCGAATGGTGTTACACCCAAACGAGACAAAGGTCTTACTTTATTATGAACTTGTATATATTTATCCAATGCCACTTTCCAATGCACTTTATCAAGCTTTGCGGCAGCTAGAGCCTCCTTTATCCCTTTATTTTGCCGTTCGACGGCACCGTTTGACTGTGCGCTTAGCGGAATGGACTTTCTGATTCTGACCCCTTTGTCTGTCCAAGTTTTTACGAACTTTTCGCTCTGGAACGGTGGACCATTATCGCTGTGAATCGTTAAAGGAAGTCCCCATACTGCAAAAACCTTATTCAAAGCATCATTGGTCACACACTGTCAGCGTCTGTGTTCCTCATTTCGACCACATGTAGATATCTTAAGTATGTATCTACTATTACGAGGAACTCACCGTGGCCAAATTCTCTATCAGTGTAAAAATCGATTTGCAGGATTTCCCATGGAGCTTGTGGAAGAGCTCTTGTTGAAAGCGGAATCGGAGGATTTTTTCGTGAAAGCCGGAAGCAGGTTTCGCATTTTTTCGACAAAATGTTCCACATCCATGCTAATTCGCGGCCACCAGAAGTAATCACGAAGAATTCGTTTCATCGATGCTATGCCTATGTGACCTTGATGCGCTGATTCTAATGCTTTCTGTCTCAACATACGGGGAAGTACAATACGCTCACCTTTGTTTAAAAGTGTAGAGAGAGAGAGAGAGAGAGAGAGAGAGAACATTATTAATGACCATTATCCCAGAGACGAACCAGCCAATGGCTGAAAGTCTCTATAATAAAGTGACCTAACCTAACCTAATTAATGACCATTTAATGCCACTATCTTAAGTGCAAACTTTTTCAATGTCTTGTAATAATACTCGACTTATAGACGCCAAGATTAATAAGGGCTCACCTTTGAATACGGAAGCTCCCAACGAATGAAGATACTTTGCCTGTGATTCATAAGCGCGTAGTCCATCTGCCCAATGGCCTGTTGACAACGCCTTACGAACGTTAATCAATTCCTCGTCCTCTTCTGATCCCTTTTCAATGTCACCCCATTGGATATCCATGCTACCCGAATCAAGGTAAAAAAGAAGGTGTTTTTCATCCGTGTCATCGAAAGACTCTTCCGGTGGTGATTCCGTCAGAAGCCTGGACAACGCATCCACTACGTTCAATTCCCCAGGAATCTTTTCAACTTTAAAGTTATACGGTTGAAGACGCAATGCCCACGCCTCTGCCCGTGATACGGCACGTTTTCCTATTCTGTGCAATCCATTGAATATGAATTCATTTGACTCAGCATCCGATCGAATAACGAAAAATTTGCTCATCAAATACATCGCAAATCTTTCGACACCCCATACCATCGCTAACGCCTCTTTCTGGGTTTGTGGATACTTTTTCTCGGCATTCGACAGGGCTTTTGAAGCGCAAGCAATCACTCGTGGATTTGATTCTGAATTGTACTGTACCAAAACGGCGCCCAATCCATAGGGCGAAGCATCAACGAAAAGCTCAGTCTCGTCATCGCAGCTATAATATCCTAGTTTATCAACCGTCTTCCACGCTTCATTCTTCAAAAACTCGAACTCCATTTCAAGATCCTCGCTCCAATAAAACTTGTCTGATTTGGCCAACTCCCGTAGTCTCCAGGTCCTGTCTGCCCGATTGAAGATAAACTTTTCAATAAAGTTGACTAGTCCGAGAAAGCTTTTCACCTCGGCTTGTGTTTGTGGTCTCCGGAAACTCTGCAATGCCTTAACTTTTTCATTTTCTACACTCCAGCCATCAGCCGATAGAACGAACCCCAGGAATTTTACAGATGTTTTGCCAATTGCACACTTGTCCAAATTGATCTTAACGTTGTGATTGTTCAGACAGTTCATTACATTCTTGAGGTTTGCTCTTCCTTAGTCTTGCCTGATACAAGAATATCATCTAAGTAGTTGATGGTTCCTCTGCAGCCTGTGAGTACTATAGACTGCAGTATTTCCTGAAATATGTCTGGTGCATTGCACAATCCGAATGGAAGCCTACAGTACCGGTAAACACCATCTCCAGTAAAAAGTTCGTAAGATGGCGGGAGCCTTCATCCAACTCTACGTGAAAAAAAGCGTTGGTTAAATCAATCGTAGAGAACCACTTGGCACTATGAAGTTCAAGGATAATAGAATCAAATCACAGTCAGGGTTTCCTTTTAGGTTTTGAGCACTCGACAAACTGTTGTTTTCGGCATCTTCAGCACTTTAGCCAGCTTGGAAACGGACCACTCCGGATTTTCCATGTGTTTGTGCACAATATTTTTTCTTCTTTCGAGTTCCATTTGACGTTATTTCTGAACGCGTTGGACTACCTTGATCAAACTTGCACCAGTTGTTCTCTATAGAAGTGTGAACAAACCACTGTCAAAGATTGTCGATTCAGAACACTAGATGCGTGCTAGAGGCGCGCGAGGGGTGTACCAATTTACTATTAGTCAGCCTTTAAAGTTTAGCTATGAACTTCTGATTTAATTTTATACGTTAGTCTGCCAATACATCTGAGTTTGTTGGTCATTAATTGTTGGTCAAGATCTTTCAGCAAGTTTGCTTTGATTAATTGCAAATGAAGGTCATTGAGGATATAGATAACTGATGTATGACTGAGTTCTATTTGTGTGTGTGTATAATGTTCTTAAGAGATGATTCATTTTGAAGAATTGACGTCACCGTCAATCTGAACTCGGGGTGGGAGGCTAACATTGTCTTCCCTAGAACCTGTTCCTTTCATATATTTTGTCTTTGATGCGTTGATGGCAAGTCCAATCCGCCTAGCTTCAGCCTTCAGTCTGATGTACGTTTCCGCCATCGTCTCAAAACTCCGTGCCATAATGTCGATGCCATCGGCGAAGTCAAGGAGCTGGATGGACTTCCTTAAAATCCTGCCATTATGCCAGCTATACTGATAACACCTTCTAATTCGATGTTGAACAGCAGACACGAAAGTCCATCACCTTGCCGTAACCCCCTTGGAGATTTAAAGGGACTCGAGAGTGTCCCCGATACTCGAACAACGCACATCACTCGATCCATCGTCGCCTTGACTAATCGCGTCAGTTTATCCGGAAATCTGTACTCGTGCATAGTCTGTCTTAGCTGATCTCGATCGATTGTGTCGTATGCGGATTTGAAATCGATGAACAAATGATGTGTGGGCACGTTGTATTTCTGTAAAACCTGCCGAATCGCGAAAATTTGGTCCGTGGTAGCGCGTGCACCCATGAATCCCGCCTAGTATTGCTCCACGAATCGTCTTGCAAATGGTGACAGGCGGCGGCATAGAATTTGGGAGAGTAACTTGTAGGCGGCGCTCAGCAGTGTGATCGCGCGGTAGTTGCAGCAATCCAACTTGTCGCCCTTTTTGTAGATTGGGTATACGACACCTTCCATCCACTCCTCCGGTAATACTAACACTCCCAAATCTTGGCAATTACCCAGATGAATACCCAGTATGAATACCAAAAGCCGTTTCAAACGTCGCGTTGCGCTGATCGTGTTGCAATTTCATTTTTGACAGTTTCAAATTTTAGAACTGTAGAAGAGATTGAAACAATTTTGAAACTCAGCATTCAAATGGTCGTGGTTCAAATGTTTGTGTGTGTACTGCAATCAAGATACATGGTTTTGCTGGAAACAGCTTTAAGCCAATTAATTTCCCACAACATTCGGTTTTTGACAGTGCGAACCAGTCCAGCAGCAACTCCGCACTGTACTCAACCAACTATCGCTTGAGGCAGGTTTGTAGAATTTCAACCCATCTAGATCGATGCCTCCGCGTTTTTTATAATCTACACATATGTGCAAACATCTCTGGCAAGCTTTAATTGGAGAGCAAACTCGTTTGCGGATATTTTGCAAATCACGACTGTAACAGAATTAGAACTCCTACATCAATTAGAAACCGAACTCGTAAGCCAGAATGATTGCAAATTATCAATTCGCTTTCATTCGGTACCCGTACGAGTCCACCCAGTGGTTGTAGATGAATGAACCTGTTTCTCAATGGGTTTGAAGTTGAAAACAAATCCTTAATCACAAGTTCTACCTTCTACCAGCATATGTTGATCGCTGCCAAAGCTCGAATCATCCCGCAAGTCATTTGCATCATTCAGGTATAAATCTCAGACTTCACCTAGAGACTTCGCTTATTTGTCACCGGTCGGTGTTGTCGAAGCCACCACTCATAAAACGTAGATCATAGCTAGCCGTATAAAACTAGCGAGCCGATCGCGTCGCGTTCGCAGTTCAGCTCGATCCGCTCGTGAGCTTGTCTATTTTCGACGATCGTTTCGGTTAAGCTGAGAGGTGCGTGTTTCCAGTTTTTGGGCTTTTCAGACAGTTAAAGAGCGTGATTAATTAGCGGGTAGACGTGTCAGTGGGGATATCGAAGCAAATTGTGTAATCTTCACACGGGCAGGCGGAGGCGACCTAGTGCCGCTCAGTTGCTCGGTGTCTGGACGAGCTGCGGAAGGAACCGGTTATATTGCGCGCATCGTGGAGCATGGTGATTTTTGCATCAAGAATTTAAGTCGCAAACTTTGAGACAGTGGTTAGAATGAGAGTGATCCTAGTGGTGTTGTTGGCGATCGGGTTCGGTGCCGTTGCGTATGGAAGAACTTCGGAGCGGCTCAAAGTGACGTTGCCCCACGGGGGATCGCTAGTCGGAAGGTATCTGACTTCGTTCAGTGGACGCGGAATTTTGGCGTTCCTGGGGGTACCGTATGCGAAGCCACCGATTGGAGAATTGAGATTCAAGGTGAGTCTGGTGAGGGTGAAGACATTCAGACATGAATGTAAAATTTATCACGAAAAATGCAACGATCTGTTTCTTCAGGATTTAGATAGCGAACAGGGACTTCAAATAGGAGGGTTAGATTCCCTGTCCGGTCGAGGAAATCGTTCGGGTTGAAACATTTCTTGACATACATGGGCAGATATGAATCATTGTGCTTGCCAAATAGGTGAATGGTAAAAGCGTCAAAGCCAGAGGTTTCTAAATTCGAAAATCCGCTATTACGACATCAATCATGTTTTTCTGTTGGTGTGTAAAGCTGTGTGAGTGTATACATTTTATCAACCTCAAGCCAGCCATGTTTATCATCAGCAATCTAAAGGTTTTGATTTGCATCGCAGAAACTGTAGTAGTTATGTAGTTATGGTGTAGAAAATCAAAGTCGGTCTCTCACTGTAAGTCTGGTTGTGGGATTCTTGTTTGTTCGACATTCAACTCTTTTGGGTTGAACAGCTTATGCAGATTGCTGCTACTCAAGATTTTTTTGTTATTGCATTTTTTGAAAGGTGTAAGCGTCTACTATATTGTGTTAAAATGGTTTTTCGATCCGCGCACAAGAAACGTTTCTACAGGCCATTGTTCGAAGCGGCGTACCGGCCACCATGGGACGCTTTAGGCACTAGACCTGTTGTGTTGTTGTTGTTCGCATTTCAAGCTTATTGCTTAGTGCTTATTAGCTTATTGCGTGCTCTCAACTTAGTGTTCTAAATGCACTTTCACAGTTATTAATTGAGAGCTTTCGATGCCTAGACCTGTGCGCCGATCAAAATATTTTCGGCGGCGGTGTGATATGTTATTTTCTGCCGGCGCCGGCCTCACGCCGTTTGCTTTCGGCGGCGGCGGCGTGGCGGCGTGGGTCGGCGTGAGTTTATTTTTAATGATTTCGAAAAAAATATTTTCCATTCGCACATGGACAAAATGTTCAGATTACTCAAAATCGCTAAAACGTAGGTCACTCATAGTTTGAGTAAATTTTCCGACACTTTCCCGGGTAAAACTTTTGATGATGACGATGATGATGATGATGATGATGATGATGATGATGATGATGATGACGACGATGATGATAATGATGATGGTCCCACCTCTTACCCCTACAAAGATTTGAGCTGGACGATTTATCATTAAGATAATTAAATATGACATTTTAACCAGGTTTGCAAACAAAATCGAACTTGTTACAGTTACAGATATAAATTCCCTGTAGAGCTTACAGTTGCTTCACAGCGATATAAATGTGGAAAAGCTCAGGCGTCCACCTATTAGTTCGCCTTTATGTCCACCTAAAATATTCATAAGTATTAAAAGCGATCAAGAGTTAATGAACAATCAACAGAGCATCCTATTACACTAGCAACCCCGAAATCTGATGCTATCATAATTTTCAGCAATGTCAGGAATGCTCACGAACCCCCGACATTTGCATGAAAACTTACTACTAACTCAAGGCATCTTCCAAATAAGCTTCAAAATTGCATTGGTTTTTATCAGATTTTAAATTCAGTCCTCTATATCCGTAATACAAGCGCGAGGCTCAACCCTTTGCAGATTACTTTTTTGACGTAGGACTTCGTCTTTCGGAAAGATGGGGGTACACTTTATAAAAACCGAAAAATGAAATTATGAAAGATTTTGAACGTTAATAACTTAGCTGCCCCTGGACCAATTTCAAAATTTTTATCACCAATCGATTAGAAACATTTCTACGCATCGATAAGATTGCTCTTGACTGTTGGATTTCAAATTGAAACTATTGAAAATGTGGTTAATTTCAAGCATTATCCAAAAGCTTCGAAATAACTAACAAATCCACCAATTACGTACATGCATATGCTGCTTCCCCAACACAGTCATCAGAGAATGGTTCCTAGATGAAACAAGTCGAAGTGACATTCGCCTCCGATTTTCGGGCGTGTACGAATAGGGAGGATGCAATTGCGGAACATGTTGCTGCCAATTCAGAACCACACGCCCCCAACGACCACACAAAATGCTCTCCGTTTCTTAAAGTAATATACACAATGTAATTAATGAAAATAATTTGACTCTTACTTTTGTAATAAGTACTATATTCGCACCCCTCGATTGTAATTGAATGATTGTTGCTGACCTTTTTCAACACTAGATGGTGCGTGAAGCAATATTTTGCGCGTCGCCATTGCAACAATTGGAAAAGGTATGAATGGATCATATTGTTAATATGATATATTGGGTGAGAGATTTTTTTTTTTTTTTTTTTAACTCTTCATTTGTTCCAAATGCAAAATAAATTACATTTCATTTTTAACCTAGGTGCTCCAGTTACTACAGTAACTTACCAGCCTTAATTGTTATGATATATATCTAAGTGTTTTTACATTGTTCCTGTCTTGGCAATTCAGTATTTTAAACAGGTTTTTTAAACCTGCATGTCAGTATAACAATTGATATCTTAAAACTAAATAACTAAAACTAAATCTTATCTAAGTATAAAGGGAATTAATCGTTGCAATTGAGGATTGTAACGATTTTTGCCGGAAATTATTAATTATTTTGTTGGACATTTGTGCTAAAGTCTCAACATTCGAAATTCTATGTACTTCGGTAGTACTGTACCAGGGAGGCAACTTCAAAATCATCTTCAGAATTTTGTTCTGAATCCTTTGAAGTGCTTTTTTCCTGGTAGTGCAACAACTAGACCATATTGGCACAGCATAAAGCATGGCCGGTCTAAAAACTTGTTTAAATATTAGAAGTTTATTCGTCAGGCAAAGTTTGGATTTCCTGTTAATAAGAGGATACAAACATTTTATATATTTGTTACATTTGGCTTGAATGCCCTCAATGTGATCTTCAAAAGTTAATTTATGGTCAAGTATTAATCCAAGATATTTCACTTGGTTTGACCAGGAAATTGGAACTCCGTTCATAGTGACTATGTGACTACTACTAGGTTTCAAAAAGGAAGCCCTGGGCTTATGTGGAAATATTATAAGTTGAGTTTTGGAAGCGTTGGGAGAAATCTTCCATTTTTGTAAATAAGAAGAGAAAATATCTAAACTTTTCTGAAGTCTGCTGCAAATAACACGAAGACTTCTTCCTTTAGCGGAAATGCCTGTGTCATCAGCGAACAAAGATTTGTGGCAACCCTGAGGCAAATCAGGGAGGTCCGAAGTGAAAATGTTATACAATATAGGCCCAAGAATGCTACCCTGAGGAACTCCTGCTCTAACAGGTAGTTGATTAGATTTTGAATTTTGATAATTTACCTGCAGAGTTCTGTCAGTTAAATAATTTTGAACTAATTTCATAATGTAAAGTGGAAAATTAAACTTTTTCAATTTAGCCATCAAACCTTCATGCCAAACACTGTCGAATGCTTTTTCTATGTCTAGAAGAGCAACTCCAGTTGAGTTGAAGGCCACTTTTGTTTGAACGAATTAAATTGGTAACTCTCAAGAGTTGATGAGTAGTTGAATGCCCATGGCGAAATCCAAACTGCTCATCTGCAAAAATTGAGTTCGTATTGATGTGAAGCATCATTCTATTCAAAATTATTTTTTCAAAAAGTTTACTTATTGAAGAAAGCAAACTTATTGGACGGTAGCTAGAAGCTTCAGCTGGATTTTTATCCGGCTTCAAAATTGGAACAACTTTTGCATTTTTTCATTTATCAGGAAAGTATGCCAAATGGAAACATCTGTTGAATAATTTTACCAAGAAAGACAAGGTACTCTCTGGGAGTTTTTTGATGAGGATATAGAAAATTCCATCATCACCTGGAGCTTTCATATTTTGAAATTTTTTAGTTATAGACCTTACTTCGTCCAAATCAGTCACCCAGGAATCATCAAAAATATTTTCCCGAGAGAAAATATTCAGAAAATCCCGAGCAACCTGAGGACTAGTAAGACCCAAACTGAAATTATGGGAACTCTCGAATTGCTTAGCAAGTTTCTGGGCTTTTTCCAAATTTGTGATCAAAATTTTACCACCTTCTTTAAGCGCTGGAATTGGTTTTTGAGGTTTTTTAAAATTTTTGTGAGTTTCCAAAAGGGTTTTGAACTCGGGTCTAATTTAGAAACATTATTTTCAAAAGTTTTGTTCCTCAGGGCAGAGAATCGCTTTTTAATTTGTTTTTGCAAATCCCGCCAGATAACTTTCATGGCAGGATCGCGTGTTCTTTGAAATTGTCTCCTACGGACATTTTTAAGACGGATCAAGAGCTGAAGATCATCGTCTATTATAATTGAATCGAATTTAACCTCGCATTTTGGTACTGAGACAGCTCTTGCTTCAACTATAGAAGTAGTCAGAGATTCAAGAGCATAATTAATTTCATCTTTGGTTTGCAAAGGAATGTTTGGATCGAAGTTATATTCCATAAATGTTCGATATTGCTCTCAATCAGCCCTATGGTAATTGAAAGTAGAGCTGTTGGGATTAGAAATTATTTCTTGAGATATTTCAAAAGTTACTGGAAGGTGATCAGAACCGAAGTCAGCATGGGTAACCAATTGGCTACAAAGTTGACATGAATCAGTTAAGACCAAATCAATAGTTGAGGGATTTCTTGCAGAAGAAAAGCATGTTGGACTGTTTGGATATTGAATAGTGCAATAACCTGCAGAACAATCATCAAACAGAATATTACCATTGGAATTGCTTTGAGCATTATTCCATGAGCGGTGTTTTGCATTAAAATCACCAATAATGAAGAATTTAGACCTATGACGGGTAAGTTTCTGGAGGTCACCCTTGAGAAAATTCTTTTGCTGGCCTACGCATTGGAATGGCAAATAGGCAGCTATGAACGTAAGTTGTCCAAATTTTGTTTCAACAGAAACTCCCAAAGTTTCAAAAACTTTGGTTTCAAATGAAGAAAGAATTTTATGTTTGATTCGTCTATGAATAATGATGGCAACGCCACCACAGGGTGCATCAAGACGATCATTATGAACTTTCAAAAAATTAAATAGCTCGTC